AGAGGTAGATGGGAAAAGAGGAAGGTGGCACAACAAGTAAGAGGGAGGTGAAAGTGTATAAACTAAGGGAGGAGGAAGTTCGGGTGAGATATAAGCGACTATTGGCAGAAAGGTGGGCTAGTGCAAAGATGAGTAGTGGGGGGTTGAAGAGGGTTGGAATAGTTTTAAAAATGCAGTATTAGAATGTGGGGCAGAAGTTTGTGGTTATAGGAGGGTGGGCGCAGGAGGAAAGAGGAGTGATTGGTGGAATGATGAAGTAAAGGGTGTGATAAAAGAGAAAAAGGTAGCTTATGAGAGGTTTTTACAAAGCAGAAGTGTTATAAGAAGAGCAGAGTATATGGAGAGTAAAAGAAAGGTAAAGAGAGTGGTGAGAGGAGTGCAAAAGGAGAGCAGATGATAGATTGGGAGAGGCACTGTCAAGAAATTTTAATGAAAATAAGAAAAAAATTTGGAGTGAGTTAAACAAGTTAAGAAAGCCTAGGGAAAATATGGATTTGTCAGTTAAAAACAGAGTAGGGGAGTTAGTAGATGGGGAGATGGAGGTATTGGGTAGATGGCGAGAATATTTTGAGGAACTTTTAAATGTTAAGGAAGAAACAGAGGCAGTAATTTCATGCACTGGTCAGGGAGGTATACCATCTTTAGGAGTGAAGAAGAGCAGAATGTAAGTGTGGGGGAGGTACGTGAGGCATTACGTAAAATGAAAGGGGGTAAAGCAGCTGGAACTGATGGGATCATGACAGAAATGTTAAAAGCAGGGGGGATATAGTGTTGGAGTGGTTGGTACTTTTGTTTAATAAATGTATGAAAGAGGGGAAGGTACCTAGGGATTGGCGGAGAGCATGTATAGTCCCTTTATATAAAGGAAAGGGGACAAAAAAGACTGTAAAAATTATAGAGGAATAAGCTTATTGAGTATACCAGGAAAAGTGTATGGTAGGGTTATAATTGAAAGAATTAGAGGTAAGACAGAATGTAGGATTGCGGATGAGCAAGGAGGTTTCAGAGTGGGTAGGGGATGTGTAGATCAAGTGTTTACATTGAAGCATATATGTGAACAGTATTTAGATAAAGGTAGGGAAGTTTTTATTGCATTTATGGATTTAGAAAAGGCATATGATAGAGTGGATAGAGGAGCAATGTGGCAGATGTTGCAAGTATATGGAATAGGTGGTAAGTTATTAAATGCTGTAAAGAGTTTTTATGAGGATAGTGAGGCTCAGGTTAGGGTGTGTAGAAGAGAGGGAGACTACTTCCGGTAAAAGTAGGTCTTAGACAGGGATGTGTAATGTCACCATGGTTGTTTAATATATTTATAGATGGGGTTGTAAAGGAAGTAAATGCTAGGGTGTTCGGGAGAGGGGTGGGATTAAATTTTGGGGAATCAAATTCAAAATGGGAATTGACACAGTTACTTTTTGCTGATGATACTGTGCTTATGGGAGATTCTAAAGAAAAATTGCAAAGGTTAGTGGATGAGTTTGGGAATGTGTGTAAAGGTAGAAAGTTGAAAGTGAAACATAGAAAAGAGTAAGGTGATGAGGGTGTCAAATGATTTAGATAAAGAAAAATTGGATATCAAATTGGGGAGGAGGAGTATGGAAGAAGTGAATGTTTTCAGATACTTGGGAGTTGACGTGTCGGCGGATGGATTTATGAAGGATGAGGTTAATCATAGAATTGATGAGGGAAAAAAGGTGAGTGGTGCTTTGAGGTATATGTGGAGTCAAAAAACGTTATCTATGGAGGCAAAGAAGGGAATATATGAAAGTATAGTAGTACCAACACTCTTATATGGGTGTGAAGCTTGGGTGGTAAATGCAGTAGCGAGGAGACGGTTGGAGGCAGTGGAGATGTCCTGTTTAAGGGCAATGTGTGGTGTAAATATTTTACAGAAAATTCGGAGTGTGGAAATTAGGAGAAGGTGTGGAGTTAATAAAAGTATTAGTCAGAGGGCAGAAGAGGGGTTGTTGAGGTGGTTTGGTCATTTAGAGAAAATGGATCAAAGTAGAATGACATGGAAAGCATATAAATCTATAGGGGAAGGAAGGCGGGGTAGGGGTCGTCCTCGAAAGGGTTGGAGAGAGGGGGTAAAGGAGGTTTTGTGGGCAAGGGGCTTGGACTTCCAGCAAGCGTGCGTGAGCGTGTTAGATAGGAGTGAATGGAGACGAATGGTACTTGGGACCTGACGATCTGTTGGAGTGTGAGCAGGGTAATATTTAGTGAAGGGATTCAGGGAAACCGGTTATTTTCATATAGTCGGACTTGAGTCCTGGAAATGGGAAGTACAATGCCTGCACTTTAAAGGAGGGGTTTTGGGATATTGGCAGTTTGGAGGGATATGTTGTGTATCTTCATATGTGTATGCTTCTAGACTGTTGTATTCTGAGCACCTCTGCAAAAACAGTGATAATGTGCGAGTGTGGTGAAAGTGTTGAATGATGATGAAAGTATTTTCTTTTTGGGGATTTTCTTTCTTTTTTGGGTCACCCTGCCTCGGTGGGAGACGGCCGACTTGTTGAAAAAAAAAAAAAAAAAAAAAGTTTACTGAGTTGTAGGTAGTAGGTTGGTAGACAGCAGCCACCCAGGGGGATACTACCGTCCTGCCAAGTGAGTGTGAAACGAAAGCCTGTAATTATTTTACATGATGGAAGGATTGCTGGTGTCCATTTTTCTGTCTCATGAACATGCAAGGTTTCAGGTACGTCTTGCTACTCCTGCTTACACTTAGGTCACACTACACATACATGTACAAGCATATATATACATACATACCCCTCTGGGTTTTCTTCTATTTTCTTTCTAGTTCTTGTTCTTGTTTATTTCCTCTTATCTTCATGGGGAAGTGGAACAGAATTCTTCCTCCGTAAGCCATGCGTGTCGTAAGAGGTGACTAAAATGCCAGGAGCAAGGGGCTAGTAACCCCTTCTCCTGTATATATTACTAAATGTAAAAGGAGAAACTTTCGTTTTTCCTTTTGGGCCACCCCACCTCGGTGGGATACGGCCGGTTTGCTGAAAGAAAGAAAGAAGTAGTTTACTGGGTATACCAGGTAAAGTGTATGGTAGGGTTATTATTGAAAGAATCAGAGATAAGACAGAGAGCAGGATTGCAGATGAGCAAGGAGTCTTTAGATTGGGTAGGAGATGTGTAGCTCAAGTGTTTACATTGAAGCATATATGTGAACAGTATTTAGATAAAGGTAGGAAAGTTTTTATTGCATTTATGGATTTAGAAAAGGCATATGATAGAGTGGATAGGAGAGCAATGTGGCAGATGTTGCAAGTGTATGGAATAGGTAGTACGTTACTAAATGCTGTAAAAAGTTTGAGGATAGCGAGGCTCAGGTTAGGGTGTGTAGGAGAGAGGGAGATTACTTCCCAATAAAAGTAGGTCTTAGACATGGATGTGTAATGTCACACTGGTTATTTAACGTATTTATAGATGGGGTTGTAAAAGAAGTAAATGCTTGGGTGTTGGGGAGAGGGATGGGATTAAATTATAGAGAATCAAATACAAAACAGGAGTTGACATAGTTACTTTTTGCTGATGATACTATGCTTTTGGGGGAGTCTGAAGAAAAGTTGCAGAGGTTAGAAGGTAGAAAGTTGAAAGTGAACATAGATAAGAGTAAGGTAATGAGGGTATCAAATGATTTAGATAAAGAAAAATTGGATATCACATTGGAGGGAGGGAGTATGGAGGAAGTGAATGTTTTCAGATATTTGGGAGTTGACTTGTCAGCAGATGGGTTTATGAAGGATGAGGTTAACCAAAGAATTGATGAAGAAAAAAAGGTGAGTGGTGCATTGAGGATATGTGGAGGCAAAAACATTATCCATGGTGGCAAAGAAGGGAATGTACAAGAGTAGAGTGGTACCAACACTTGTGTGGGTGTGAAACATGGGTTGTAAATGCTGCAGTGAGAAGGTGGCTGGAGGCAGTGGAGATAATAAGAATAATAATAATATCTTTATTTCTAAAAGTACATGTACAAGGCATACAAACCTAGCCGACATCAATGACATACTACTATATAGAAAGCCACTTGTTATGCTCTCAGAGCATTTCAGGCAAATTGAGCCCTGTCTTAGGAAACGTGTGGTGTAAATATTATGCAGAGAATTCGTAATGTGGAAATTAGGAGGTGTGGAGTTACTAAAGGTATTAGTCAGAGGGCTGAAGAGGGGCTGTTGAGATGGTTTGGCCATTTAGAGAGAATGGAACAAAGAATGACTTGGGTAGTGTATAAATCTGTAGGGGAGGGAAGGTGGGGTAGAGCTTGGCCCAAAAAAAGTTGGAGGGAGGGGGTAAAGGAGGTTTTGTGGGTGAGGGGCTTGGACTTCCACTAAGCGTGCATGATTGTGTTAGATAAGAGTGAATGGTGACGAATGGTTTTTGGGACCTGACGAGCTGTTGGAGTGTGAGCAGGGTAATACTTTGTGAAGGGATTCAGGGGAAACCAGTTAGCCAGACTTGAGTCCTGGAAATGGGAAGTACAGTGCCTGCCCTTTAAAGGAGGGGTTTGGGATATTGGCAGTTTGGGGGACATCTAAACTGTTGTATCTGAGTGCCTCTGCAGAGACATTGACTATGTGTGAGTGATGGTGATAGTGTTGAATGATGACAAAAGTTTTTCCTTTCTTTTTGGGTTTTTTCTTTCTTATTGGATCATCCTGCCTTTGTGGGAAATGGCCAACGTGTTAAAAAAAGTTTCCTGGTTATATCAGGTAAAGTGTATGGTAGGGTTATTATTGAAAGAATTAGAGGTAAGACAGAGAGCAAGATTGCAGATGAACAAGGAGGCTTTAGAAAGGGTAGAGGCTGTGTAGATCAAGTGTTTACATTGAAGCATATATGTGAACAGTATTTAAATAAAGGTGGGGAAGTTTTCATTGCATTTATGGTTTAAAACAGGCATATGATAGTGGATAGGCGAGCAATGTGGCAGATGTTGCAAGTGTGGCGTGTGGATTTATGTGTATTGTTTCCATTCCTAGGCAGAGGATCACCACTTGCTCCCCCTAGCAGTGGCAGTAGTGGTTTCAGTGATGATGACAGTCTTCACTATGATGATGGACGAGGCTTTACCCTGGAGGAATTTGTGCGCCACCTCAGAGACAAGGGACGGCAAGGCCTTTACCACGACTACACACAAATAAAGAGTCGGCCTCCTGATGGTACCTTTGAAAACTCAAGGTAACTGTCAAAAAAAAAAAGTATTTGAAACAAAGATTAAACTATTTAATTAATTTTATGAACATTCATTTCCTTTCTGTAAGTTATTAGCTATAAAATTTGCTACTTATTTTTTGTTTTTTTTGATAGCATCCTCTTTTATTTCTAAATAGAGGGGCATACTGTATTTTGACTTCAGTTTTGAAATAGTTTATTCCACAAAATTTAAATTTGAAACATTCAGGACAAGACTTGCAGTGATCATTCTCCTGGGCTTCATAAAATTTTAATACAGTAAAACTTGATATAGCTGTGTATATTGGGGTCAGGACACCTAGCAGATGTAGATTTTTTTTTTTTTTTAAGCACTGTGGACTTGAATGCTGCTCACATAATTGTTTCTGAAGTTTACTGACCATAAAACATACAGTCCTTATAACAGAGCTTGATAATGTACAGAAGCATGTATGTACATATGCCACAGCAGTGTATCATGCTATTGTGGTACACATACTTATGCCTGGACAATACAGTAAGGCCCCACTTATACGGGCAGGTTAGGTTCCAGGATACTGCCGGAAAGCAGAACTCCATTTTTTCCATTTATGAATGCATATAAATGGCAGATAACAAGTTTACACTAACGTATATTAAGTTAGCAGTAGAACTAGGCATTAAAAAGTAAAATACATACACAGTATACTCATTATTTACCTGAAAATATTTATAGTCTTAATGTAGGGCAAAAGGTGAGTAGTATTTATTGTAAGAAGTCAGGTGTGGTAGCCCTCCTGGCCACCCCACCCACTATACTACGATGCTTAACCCCTTGACTGTCGAAACCCCTAATCCTGAAGTGTCTCCTGGTGTCGAAAAATATTCGAAAAAAAAAATATTTTTCTTATAAAAATGTTAAGATTTTTTCTGATTGTTTTAGTCCAAAAAATTTTTTTTTGCCATCAATACTTACCGAGATATGGAGGTGTGATGGCAGAAAATGAGACATGTATGGCAACAGGCGACTGCCGCTCACCCAGTAAACTTTTGGTTTACTTGTATTCGAAGGTTTCTTTTTTTTTTTTTTTTTTTTTTTTTTCACTATTTTATTTTTTTGCAACTTATGTGGCCAGTAAGACCAAAGTAAGGTGCAATGTTCATATATACATTCGTTGAACGTAACACAATTATAGCAAAAACACTAGTATCATCATATTGTTTACAAAACTTGTTTACACAAACAAACAACAAAATTTTTTTTATTACAATTGTTCTATAATATATATGCATATGTACAATCACTGGACACTTTTCTAGAACTGCTGCAGCTTGTGGAATTCTTTGAAACATGGGTGTATGCACAATGGTGTTTTACACTCCTCACAGATAAAACAAGTGTCTCTGTTTTTGTAGGCGTTTTGTGGTATGTGCACAGACATAACACCTCTTCTGAGCATTTTTCTTGAAAGCAGTAGCAGGCAGTGGTATGGGGTAGTGATCACCAGGTCTCAGACAAGAGGGCATGTGTTGATAATTTTGTGGGTGCTGGTCTATTGCAAGTGTTGTTCCTTGGTACTTGAATATTATTTGTCTGATAACTGACAAACAAAATTCACCATATTCGGGTTTGTTTTTGGTCTTCAACTTATATATTTTATAAGCATTCAGCATGGAAATGTCAAAAAGATGGAAAAAGAGTTTTATGTACTGCTTATAACTCTTGCAAACACAATCAGCAAACCCAATCTGCATGTCACATTTGTCCACTAACTTCATATTGAGGTTGTAATCCATCACAGCTGCAGGTTTTACAATGGGTTCATTGGTCTCTCTGTTCTGCTTGCCACTGTGTACCATTTCGTGTCAGTGAACTGATGTCAACAGTGTGACATCACGTTTGCCATACCACCGATGTGCCATGATGTCATTGGCGGCAAACACCTGAACATCACCTCTACGAGTGCCAGCATCGAACAGCATCCACGCACTGTGCCCACACACATCTGTCATGTTCACTCGCAAGAAATCACTGAGTAAAGGGCTTGTGTACAGTTGTCAGTATATAAAATATGCCCCTTACCAAGATATGGTTCCATCATTGTTCTAACCACATCACCAGAGATACCCAGTAACTTCCTGGTATCTTGCAATGTTTTACTGATAGTGTACACAATTATATCCAAAACCAGACCAGTTTTGCAGTCACACAGTACAAATAACTTTATACCAAAGTGTTTCCTCTTGCTTGGTATATACTGCTGGAATGAGAGTCTGCCTTTGAACAAAATCAAAGACTCATCAATAACAAGCTTCCTGAAGGGATAAAAGTGCATACAGCACTTTTGTTTCAGGTACATAAACACATTTCTGTTCTTATATAACCTGTCGCTTCTGTCAGGCCTTGTTTTGTCTGAAAAGTGTAGCATACATAACAGTAGCACAAATCTATTCACTGGTAAAATGTCACCGAAAGCTGGGGTTGAAATCAGGCGGTCTGTCGACGAGTATGTATTGACACTGTGCTTATACACATGTGGCATAAGCATTATTGTGGCAAAGAACAGATACATTTCTGCCACAGTTATGTCCTTCCACTGGTGTAGGCGTGATCTTGGTGAAAGAATTGTGTTTCCCATGGTGTACTCAGAGTATGTATTGCTTTCCCTGACAATAATGTCCATCAGGGGTTCATCGAAGAATAACTGAAAGCATTCCAGTTCAGTAGCATTGTTTCCAAGTGTACATGATGGCCGTATTCCACTTTGTGTTTCATCAAAGTTGTGTGGATTGGGAACAAAATTATCACCTTGCTTCCAATCCCAGATGCAGTCTGCTGGTGGGTTCTGGATATTGAAAGGTGGTTGTGGTTGTGCAGGTTGTGGTTCTGGATGCTGTGGGAGTGTGGGGTAGGTTGAGGCTGGTTGTAGTTGTGCTGAGTTAGCAGTGTCGGTAGTAGTGTGGCCCACTGCTGGTGCCACATGACTCATGCCACCACCACTATCACCACCACCCTCTGCTGCCTCACTCACATCATTCATAGCCATTGTAACAATACTGTCATTTTCACTATCAGTTCGTGGTTTAGGGCCACGGGATGTACTCCAAGATTTACTCCTTCCCCTTGGAACAACATATGACATGCTACCAGAACTCATGCTATGTTGTATATACTGCTGCTTCACTGGAGAATATTCACCCTCACTGTCGCAGCTAGAACTGCTTTCAGTAGCTTTGAAATCACTATCACTTTCACTGCTCACATTTGAGTCTTGTACATGGGCAAATAATTTCCTCTTTCGTCCTGGTACAGATGAACTTGAATGAGACGGCCCAGCACCAGATGCGGATGGTTGTGGGTCGTCTTGATTTTCATCACTAATTACGTTATCCTGGGCACTGCTTTTGGTCACACCCACTCCAAAACCATGAAATTCACTTTCACTGGCACTTCCATCACTGTTAGAGCTATCACTTGGGAACAAAAGACCTCCAATCTGCTGAGGAGTGAGGTACTTCTTACCACGAGGCATAGTGAAAATGAACTACCAAGATGGCGTTCCCACAATGCATCATTGAATCCCCAATTTTTTTCACAGGGTGCACACCCACCACTCAGATCCATTCTCTCTCATGTAGGCCTACCAGCTTTCTCCCGCTTGATTTGAAGCCGCTAGAATTTATGCGTATAAATACGTTAAACACAGTGGCTCGTAAGACGTGTATATACGACCGAAACAGTCAAAGGGTTAAAGCTCCATAGAGTGATAAAATACATGTACAGTACATTCATTACTTACTTTAAAATTTTTGTAGTCTTTATGGTCTTAATGTAGGGTGAGAGGTGAAAAGTATTTATTTGTAGAAAGTCATGTGGGTGGTATGGCATCCTTCCAGGCCACTCCCACCTACTACGACATTAAGCTCCCTAGAGTGATAAAATGCATATACAGTACACTCATTAATTACCTTAAAATATTTGTAGTCTTAATGTAGGGTGAGAAGTGAGTTTTATTTGTAGGAAGTCAGGTTGGGAAATATGGGTAGCCAGGAAGGGCAGCCCTCTCCCCCCACACATAATGTAAACAAACCAGATGAAAACGTCTGGTTTTCGTCACTTTACATTGTGTACAAGTTGTCTCCATGTTGATACAGTAGAATAAATAAAGAGAAACCCTCCCATTTTCATGTAACACCATTTTTAGAAGAAATGATGCCCTGAGTGAAGGCATATGAAAGGAATAATTTTCTAGCTACCCCCAATAATATTATAGTGTACACATTTTCTCTGATGTTGGACTACAAGTCGCCTGGCTACCACAAGTCCTACAAGTCACCTGGGTACCACTTCTTGTATTTATGTTAATTTATTCTACTGTGGTGTGTATTTAGATGGATTAAGCAAATTGTCTATATTAATGTTTTATACAATATTTAATGCGCCTCAGAGTGATTACTATTGTGTTATTATTATTATCATTATTAATATGGCATCTTCAAGACTAATAAGACACTCTTAGTGATTTTAATGTGTACCTGCATGCCAGCACAGTGTATAAGTTTACTTAGGTACAGGTACACATAAGTATAATTATCAGTTACGTAGTATGTAGTCCGCCTGGGCTATATACTTACACCTATCTACATAGCTACACAATATTTAATGTGGCCCAGAGCCATATTATTACCATTGACATACCATATTCACTGAGGTTAATCATTTCTATCAACTACCTTTAGATGCCATCATAAACAAAGAGAGAAGTAATGAATAATTCATGCCGAGAATTGTAAATAAAAGTATTATGTATTACAGGGAGTGACGTAATGTTTTCCCTCCGCCCAGCTACCACACCTCCATAGTATATAAACATATAATTTTATATACTATGTAATGTGTTTCTTGTATAATTTTGAAGAAAATATCATAGATGGATTAATGAAAATGTCTATATTAATGTAAAATAAGACATTTAATGTGCCCAAGAGTGATTATTATTACACAGTGGAGATGTGCTCACAGAGAA